TGTAGTCTGGCCTCCTGTACACATTTTTTTTCTGCTTTTTTTTTTAATTGAAGTACAGTTAGTTACAATGTGTCACTTTCTGGTGACTGGGACAGCATCATGTCCCAGTCATTCATATATATACATATATATATATATAGACACACACACACATACACATATTCATTTTCATATTCTGCTTCCATACACATTTTTAGTTATGTTCCCCTGCCAAACATGAAAAAAAATCCAGAATCCCCCCATATGCTAATTGGTATTATTTCACAAGTACAGATTTTTGTTTCCATCACTTATTAAGGTCATTCTCCTAAGTTTAATTTTCTCAAGACACACAAAGACTTTAAAGAAACTGTATGTCCCATACTAGAACTTTGGAGCTTTAGACTCACTACCCAAGAATTTAAGCCATCTGCAGCCTCTTCATCATGCCTGTATCTCTTGTTCCTATTCAAAGGGCACAAGAAAAGATCTGAGCCTGAGCGTTAATGGCTGAGAAGATGAAATAAATTGGAGCCCAGGGACATAAGCTCCTCGACGACTCCTTGGTCAAATCAGAAAGGAAATTAGTCGAGATGCTAATGATGATGCGTGCTCAGCACGCCACGTGGCACCTGTTCAACCCTCACTGAGATGAGAGAAAAGCAGAAGCTATTAACAATTTTAAAGCCATGTTGGGGAAACTGCAACCCTGAAAGTTAGCCACAAGACTGCGAATTAAATTCTCTGCTCAGTCATTTATTCTTCCAGATTAGTGTTTAAATCATGAAAACATACATTTTTATTTTGGTATAATCATATAAATTATTTCTTAAGATTGCTCCAATTAGCACATCTTTTCTTAATGTTACCAAGGCAAATGCCCCAGAATCATACTCCTGCCCCTCCCCTGAATGGAAACCAACTGCCCTTTTCTGAATTTTAGGCTCAGTCACAAAAGGAGGAAGCTGCAAAGAGACAAGAACGGGTTAGAATTAGCTGAGTCCAAGGTGGCCGAGAACCTGACCTCCAGTAGAACTTGAACCTTATTATAAGCTCGCTGTAATACATTAGCATGCTAAATGACACACCCACCGATGCCTGGTCCCTTGATAGTTGTCATGGCAACAACCAGAAGGGCCCTACAAGGACTGAAAAGGAGTGTTACCTTGTTCTAAGTCCAAACCACACTCCAGTTCTTGGATAAGCCATGAATATTCCTCCCTCTCTTTACTCTTTCCCTCCCTTGTACCTCCACCCTCTTATATATACGGTGTCTCAGCCAGAGGCAGGGTGAGAAGTTGGTTGGTGAACTGAGTTCCCACTTCTCCATTTTTTGGCCATTGAATAAAGCTTGTGCTGTTCCAGTCTGGGGCTCTGGGCTACGACCCTGGTGTGGGGCCAGACTACCAAGTCAGTAATACTCCCTTGTTTTCCTTCTCTTCGTGCTTACAAAGCACTCGTGTAAGAAATTTTCACTAGCTGCTTCCTTTCAATACTGTATTCAGGCTCCCTTTGATGTGAAGTTTGCCACTCCTTACACAGATAGGCAAGATATCATGCATTCCAAACCACAATTAATTTCAAGGAAAGTCCCACTTGCTCACTGCCCCCTCATCTTTTTGCCTCTCACCTAATGGCAACATCAACAGCAACACAAACAAAATGCTGAGTCACATACTCAGATTGTGTTGTTTCTACATTTCTTCACTGGATTTCACAATTTTCCTTCCAACAAAATCTCTTCCCAACGACCAATATTCAAAATAGAGACAAATAGAAGCTCCCAAAGTCTCTCTGGGCCATTTTGACAATGGCTGCCTTATCTCACTTAATTCTCCAGTGATGCTGTGAGTTATTTACTGCTATCATTTTTATTTTAACTGAGCCTTGGAGAGCTTTCAGAACATGCTCAAGGCCACACAGCAGTAAGAAAATGGAGCCAAAGCTGCATTTATTCAATCATGTATTTTTGGCGTGCCTCCAGTGTGCCAGATACTGCTCTTGGCACTGGGGAGACATCAATAAACAAACAGGCAGAGTCCCTGTCCCTGGTGGAGCTTATATTCTATCCTAGTGGATTTGAGGACAGGTTTGTTTAATTCAAAAATGGTGTGGACTAAACTAGACATTATGCTGGCTTAATTCTACTTAGATTCTTTGGTTGTCTCTCTTATTCAATCAACGTCTCTTTCCCAGAGGGGTATAATTCTACTTTCTTAAACAGTATGCTTATGTGGATGACTCCTTATTGGCTTAAACTGATACATTCTAAAATCAACATCTACCCGCCCTCGTGTTTTCAAACAATCACCAGTGACTGGCAATCTTCCTGTGGTGCCTGGAACCCACGAAGCCCATTCGTACACAGCCTCTTGTTTATTTCTCTTACCTACATCACAAGCTACAACCAGGCCAGGAATTATGATCCTGTCACATGGTTTGTAAAGGACCAAGTTATGAATGGGGGAGGAGCTGATCTCACTCTACTGTCTGAGGAATGCAAAATGTGTTCATTCATTTTTATTCAGTGAATTTGATTTAGCATTAAATTCCATATACTGCTCACCTAATGGGAAAATATGACTTGAGTCACTCCTGGGGCTCCCTTCCCAAAGCCTTGCTGAAGGAATTCACTTTGACACTGATCTAATCCCTTTGGTCTGGGCCGTTCTGCCACACTTGGGGAAGGAGACGCCATTGCTGAGCATAGGAAGCACTGCTGTCCCCATCTGAGGTCTTGCCCCCAACCTGGGCACTGCCAGGGAGAAAGGTGTGGGGTCCATGAGAATTTTGTCAGCCTCAAATCTTTGTTTCCTCCAATGTCACCCGAAGTTTCTCTTTTATTTTTCCCTCTGTGGCCTTTTCTCTGTTCTTACCCTCCAGGATACATGGAACAAACTCCTTAAAGGCTTGAGTTCTGGAAACAAAATGAGGAAGGAAGGGATCCTGCAGATGACTCCCTTTGATAGCTGTCACCAGCTCTTGTGAGGCAAAGGAGCTTGAAGATGAGGAAGTGCTTGAAAATATTTCCTAGGGAGAAATCTGTAAACGAATATCTCAAAAATTCTTTGGAGACATGGCTCACCCTTATTCATTGCTTATTATTATGAGCCAGAAACTGTGAGAAGCACATTAAGTGTCTAATCTCATTCAATCCTTTCAAAATCCTAATTCACTTAGGCCTCTAAGTGTTCCCACTCTGCAGGCGAGGAAAATGAGGCTCACAAAATTGATGTAACTTGTCCAGCACAGTGGGTGGCAGAGTTGAGATGTGGCCTAGGTTTGACTTCAGAACTAGGCTCCTTCACATCTGTGCTCCTCCTATCCCACCTGTGTTTCTCCAGTGACTGGGAAACTGCTATGGGTTGCCTACCATCTTTCATTGCTTTCATTCACTGTCATAGAATTAAAGGCATTTTCCATCCAAATGTGCTTGGCTTCCTTTGAGATGCTGATCAAGTGGCTCTGCTTTATGTATGTGGTGTTTCACTCCTTCAATACCACTTCGCTTTCCTTATGTCTGGACAGCTCTGTCCATGATCAAGTGTCTCTGTGTCAAGACCAGTGCTACCTATACATCATTTCACTCAGTGAAAACGTGCATTAACAATACCCATATCTAGATGTTTGGGTTCAGTGGGTCCAGGGAGGATTCTGAGGGCTCATCTTTAGCAAAAATTCAGGTAATTGTGGGGAACGTGGCCCATGGTGCATCCTTTGAGCATCACTGCTCTATCTTATCCTTTCTTTATTTTGTCATTAACATTTATTCAAGTCTCTGCTTATTTGGTTACAAAGACCAGAAACACTCTTAAGTTCAAATGTAAAGAGAGTTGACTGAAAAGGAAGACAAGGTAACATAAAGAACATAGCCAGTCCACTTGAGAATAGGGCAACAGTTGAAGAGCTGTTCTGTTTTGCTCGTTAAGACTCCACGGCCTTGTCTCCTCCATTCTTCAGGGCTGCATGAGAGTATGTCCCCTCCATTCTCATCTCTGCAGACGAGCTTTGTCCTATCCGCCCACAGCCTTTGCTTGAGAAGTCTGAAATGAGTCCTACATTTGACATATAATGGCACTGCACTCACTAAATACACTCTCTATATTGCTTACTTCAACACAACAAACAAGAATCTGACTTGCTCAATTTAACTGTCCATGAGTCAGCTGCCTTTGCTCAAGTGGCCACCCTGGTGCAGTCACTGGGGGTTATGTTGACAAGTGGCGGGGTACAGGGTCCCATGTCGCAAATGTGCCTGTGCAAGCCTGCCACTGAGTCAGGAGGGGAGTTTCCTAAGAACATGGCTGTGGGTGGGGGTGAAATCACACCTCTGGCTACTACAATATCATTATCAGAGGAATCTTCTTAAGACTCTACTTTTCATCTTGTCAGTTCTCAGCTCAACTGCTCCCAGTTCTCTCCAACTGCTCCCTATGAAACATGAGGTCCAGTCAAATGGTTCTTTGTAACATTCAAAGCTGCCTGTGACCTGCCCTGCTGTACCTTTCTGCCGTCACCTCTCCTACAGGAACCACCTTCTGCAGCTGGATTCTACTCCTTCTACTCCTCCAATGTACCATGTCCCATCTGCAATGTTTCCACGTTCTCTACATTTAGTTACTTTTTATTTAAAGTCCTGTTAAGCCTTACTACCCTTATGACATCTTTCAAGATCGCTCATCCTTTTTAACCATTATCTGTGTGACCAATTTTGACCTTCGTTACATTTGGTCTTGTGTTTTCCTGTTTCAGATCTTTCATCTTATTTCACCAAAGAGAATTCTTGGAAGGCAAGAATTACATTAGACACAGCTGACTTCTCCAGAGTCTCGAAGTAACAAGGCCACCAAAAAAATAAGACAAAGCAGGAAGAAAGTGATTTACTATTGGCACTACTGGCAGAAATATCCTAAGAACTGAACTCAGACTTTAGCTAGGATATCATTGTTAAAAAGACTTTTAAGAGACAAGGCATCACAGCAACATAAAAACATGAGTCAATTAATTGTAAAAGAAATTACCTCATAGCCAAGTAAATGTCCATTGCTCAACTTCCAAGGAACGGTGTTCCAGGAAACCTCAATTTCTGAGGAAGACAGGCTATTTGCAGAGACTTGAGACGGAGCTACTGTAGGCTCTATTTGGGAACAGAAAGTGAAATACAATTATAATTTTTACAGTTAATTAAAAAATTTAGTGAAGTTATTGTTTAAAAAAGCATTTTAACAAATTTGAAAGTATTATAAGCTATTCTGTAAAAGTATTTGACATCTTGAACCATGTCTCGGTCACTTTCCATTTCTCAGGAAGAGACGGCATCACAGCCATGAGCGTTTACTTGTGAACAGTCAGAGCAACTCTACTTCCCTCTCCTGCACTTCCTTCTGGGACTCCCACTTTCCCTCTCTTTTCCCCTTTGTTCTTTCCTCCCTATCATTATTTCTCGCCTCTCCTTCCCACAGCCCCATGGGAAATCCTATGCCCACATATGCTACTTTTTTTGTCTTGCCAAACAAAGGTCAAGGTCTACAGAGTTCATTTATTCAATAAGCATTTAGTGATTATCCTGTCTAGCTAGGCCCACAGGAGGGGCAAGGTTAAATGAGATCCTGTACTCTTGTGAAGTAGATAATCATGCACACAGCTTTCTGCACAGTAAAAAGATCCCCTTTGCCGGGGGAGGGTATAGCACAGTGGTAGAGTGCATGCCTAGCATGTACGAGGTCCTGGGTTCAGTCCCCAGTGCTTCATTCAATCAATCAATAAATCAATCTAATTACCTTCCCCAAAAACAACAACAACAACAACAAATTTTAAAAAGATCCCCTTTGTAATGGACAACTCTTGGGGCTCACAGTGATTCTCCCCTCTCAGAGCACTGCTCTGAGCAGAGATGCCTCCTCCCCTATTATCCATCTCTGTGATAAATGATGCCCTGGCCATGGCTGATTGATGCCGGCTCCAAGGATGGGTCTATTAGATTTTTTTTTTTCTCCTGAGAATTTGGCAATTGGTTTGGAGAAACAAGGAAGACTTGGGGCCAGTCAGTCCAGCTCTGGTGCCGTAGAGAGGCCCTAGGTTTCTGAGGGCCCAGAGCTTCTCTGACTAAGGCTCTTCATGAGGTTCGTTGTTTACTTCTCCTTTGATTCAACAAACGGTCTGAATATATTTCCAATAATGCCCTCACTTTTTTCAAAGACAAGTCAAATCATTTTTTGACATTTGGAACAGAAAGACCTTTAACCAACTCATCAGTGGAGGCAGGAATGGCAACAGGAGAAGGAAAGTGCAGGAGGCAAGAAGAGTAAAAGGCTCTGGCTGTCCCTCCCTCCCCCACTGCCAGCCCTCCGCATTGAGGATGCACAGTGAAGGCAGTGCCTGAAAACTCCTTGGTTAATTGCGATCACTCCCCAGACCCCTGAACTGCCCGTGTAATGAAAATCTGACTGGCAACTCTTGCAAATGGGGTCTGGCTATGAATATAAAAGTTCTTTCTTTTGCAAAAATTTTTATAACGCCAGTTCCTTTTTCTCTCAGAACTCAGTGGAAAAAGAATAGAAATAGAGGGAGAGGGTACTAAGGAAAACTGAGTCTCGTTGTTTTTAGGAATGAGAATTGTATGCCAGTGTTTGCAATTTCCTGTAAGGTTTGGAGGGTAGAGGAGATACTGTGAGATCATATTTCATGAGCTCAAATGTGTCAAGAGCAAAGGCCCTGCATTAAAAATACTAGCTCAATATAAGTCTGTATGGATTTTGGCAAGTTCATTAATTTTTTTTCATCAAGCTTCCATTTTCTTTCCGTTTGTGTAAATGGGAAATAACAATAGTATCTCTATGGCACTCCTCCTTGGAAGATTCATATTAGGTAATGTCTGGCTGATCGTAAGCATTCAATACATGTTAGCTCCTGCCATTCTAATTAGGTAGAACCACATGAGATAGCCGATATTCAGCTGCTCTTGAGCTATAAAACGGCAATTTCATAGGATTGTCCTAACATTGTTATCTTATAAAGAAATGCAACATGGATGCACCTGGAGAATGTCATTCTAAGTGAAGTAAGCCAGAAAGAGAAAGAAAAATATCATATGAGATCGCTCATATGTGGAATCGAAAAACAAAAACAAAGCATAAATACAAAACAGAAATAGACTCATAGACATAGAATACAACCTTGTGGTTGCCAAGGGGGCGGAGGATGGGAAGGAATAGACGGGATTTCAAAATTGTAGAATAGATAAACAAGATTATACTGCATAGCACAGGGAAATATGCACAAGATCTTATGGTAGCTCACAGAGAAAAAAATGTCTCAATGAATATATATATGATCATGTATGACTGAAAAATTGTGCTCTACACTGGAATTTGACACAACATTGTAAAATGATTATAAATCAATAAAAATTTTTAAAAAATAAAATAAAATAAAGAAATGCAATATCTGGGAGAGGTATAAAAAAAAGGCTGAGAAATGGAGAGAGTCCAGAGTGGAGTTGGTAGGAATTTACAGCATCTGGAACTGGGGAGACACATTCTCAAACATGCACATTCCACATTCTCCAGTGTCACACTTCTAGTCCTCCCTCTCCATCCTGTTACAACCATTTACTCAGGGATAGAAACCATGATAAAGCTTGAGACTAGGGCACTTCAAAGATATCTTAATCTTATCTCCAAGAAGAAAGCTGTGGAAGGCCATGTTGTCCCTGCTTCACAGGCTGGGACTCAATGTGTTCCTTACAAACAGCTTTTTAACTAATTGTTATGTCAACTATCCACTGAGTCTCAAGCAGGCATGGTTGATCTTCATTACCTGGACAAGGAATCTAGCTATGACTTGATTCTTCTTTTGAAGAAATATATCTGAAGTCACAAAGAACTTCCAAATTGGTTTTTGGAGCCCAATGGGCTTATTAGTTTGGAACTGATATGCAGACCTTCCTCAGCTTATGAAGGGGTTACAGCTCGATAAGCCCATCATAAGTTGGAAATAGCGTAAGTCAAAAATGCTAAAAAATCTAACTTACCAAAACAGCATAGCTTAGCCTAGCTTAACTTACACATGCTCTGAACATTGGCACTGGCCTACAGTGGGGTGAAATCATCCAATACAAGGTTTATTTTACAATAAAGTGTTGAATATCTCCTATAATTTACTGAATACTGCACTGAAGATGAAAAGCAGAATAGCTGAATGATACAGAATGGGCGTTAAGTGTATCCATCGTTTACCCTTGTGATTGCCTGCCTGACTCGGAGCTGTGGCTGCTGCTACCAGCATCACGAGAGATTATTTTACTACATATCGCTAGGACAAGATTAAAATTCAAAACTCGAAGTACAGCTTCTTGTGAATGGGTGGGTCATGTGCGCATCACTGTAAAGTTGAAAAATCTTAAGTCGAAGACCATCTGTATAATTGTAACGTTTCTGTACCTTCTTCTGCAGAGAATACTGTGGTCACTGGGCTAAATGGTCCTTCACCTTTGTTGTTATAAACACCCACTTTAACTTCATACAGTGAAAAGGGCAGGATGCTTTCATTCCTGAAGACATATCTTGGGGTCTCAGGAGATGTGACCACTGTCTGGATCCAGTTGGTAACTCCAAGTGGGCGGAAAGCAACAACATAACCAAAACCTTCACCATTCTGTAGTTCTTCAGGGACTGGCTGTAAAGCAAAGATATATTAAATCACACTTACCCCTGAGGAAAGACGAAAATAAATGCAGCTGTAAAACAAAATCTTTTGTAAAAGCCATCAAATAACAGTCTATGTTTTATTAAGTGGTTAGATTAAAAAAAGAGAAACAGGTCAGAGGAATAGTCAGCTGCTTTTAAATAGACACATGACACTCTTTCATAGCCATCCAGATAACTAACTGAAATTCTCCAAAATTATTCAGATTTTTTGAGCATCCTGCAGCCCCCATTTGAGTTGTGAGTAATAAAGATATACTTTCAGTTGAATATATTGCACCTCTAAATCAAATAAAAATCATCTAATCCCTAGTGTTGACTTCATGGGGGAAAAATCACACATTGATATGATGATTAAGTGCAAAAGAGTGAAACTTAAAAAGAGGAAGTAAAAACAATGTATTAAACTCAAAACTGTATTTGCATCACGTCAGAAATTACTACTGACCCACCATCATGATCTATTGATTTTTAAATTTTTTTCCCTGACATCGTCAGATAAAATAGATAAAGCCAGTGCCTTCTGACTGTGTTAATTAACATTCTTTCTAATTATGATGTAAAGCAAGGGCTGAAACAATGGCCAGCAAACAGCACCTGCTGGAAAAGTGGGGTGTACACCATCAGCGGGGGTGCAGCTGCAGGGAGAGCCCTGAGGGCAGCTCCCAAGTAAAGAGCCAGGACTTGACTCTCACCCCACATTTATTATTTACATGAACTTGGGTGAATTATTTAATATCTCTATGCCTTAACGTTTTCATCTAAAAAATGTTGCAAGAATGAAGTGAAAAAAATACGCAAAATGCTGGGAACAGTGATTAACACAGAGTGAAC